TCGTTTTTCATCCTGTCATTTTCGTAAACAACACCCCCGCCAAGAGAAGGCAGTGAGAAGGACTTCCCTGGCAGAGGCTGTATACGCGTGGCCGTGTGAGAGTATTTCGAGAGGTAGGGCGAACCCACCCCACTCTCGACCATACCAGAGCATTTGGGGGCTATATCTTACTTCAAATGATATTGCCCTACCATGTATATATATATACATATATATATATATATAACAGTGATATATATATGATGGGATCGATTACTGGAGGAGGGTGTATCAGTATCAGACAATGGAGACTGGACGTCAGAGTAGGATGTTTCAAATTACCGAATACTGTGACCATCAAACTATGTTGAATAAAACTGATTTTTTTTCAGTAAGTTTTAAGTACATTATATATTGTTCACTGTTTTTTTATGCAAAAACACCAATTTCCAAACGTTTCGCGAATAATGTACCACTTTACTGCAACATTAAGATAGACAATTGTAAAGGACAGAGTACCTGGGGAACATCATCGCTGAACAAGGAGAATCTGATGTAAACATAAAGCGAAGGGCCGTATTCGTACAGTCCAAGAACATATGTAACTCAAAGCAACTGCCTTCAAACCAATATCGAAGTCAGGATCCTCAACACAAACATCAAGACAGTTCTACTGTATGGAGCTGAAACTCGAAGAGCTATCATGACCATCGTCAACAATGTATAAGTATTTACAAACAATTGTCTAAACAAGACACTGAATGTCCGTAGGTTGGACACCATCAGCGAGAGCTTACGATTGTAGAGAACAAACCAACTTTCAGATGACAAGGAAATTAGGGATAGTCGTTGGTAGTGGATAGAACATACATTACAGAAATGGCCAAACTGCATCGCGAGGCAAGCTTTAGCTTGGAATCATGAGGGAAGGAAGGCCAAAGAACACATTACATCGTGAAATAGAAGCATATATGAAAAGGATGAATAACAGCTTGAGAGGACTGCCCATGACAGAGTTGGATATAGAGTGCTGGTGCTCGAGTCACGCTACGCAAGTTTTTATTTATTCGACCATTCCCCATAAGGTCTCTTGGATATAGCTTTATTACAATCCATAAAGTTTAAAACGTCTTGGACAATTACGTTCAATAAATTTCATCTGTACATGATAACGTTCATTGATTAGAATTTTAATGAATCACAAAAATTGGTCTTGACGTCCTTACTCGTCTCATTCATATTTCAGGTTCTACTGTCGTCAATTCATCATTATTACGTTGATATAAATAAGTGAATTTAGCAATTTCATATTATAATGTGTAGGAATCTAGGGTTGGTAAACGCCGTACATTCACCTAACTTGTGAACTAACACGTGTTCAAAGAACTTGGAGATATGTTCATATTTTAAATCTTGCCACTATAATGGTAATCGAACAAAGAAGATGATCCCCTCTAACAGGAAATGAAATTTGAATAGATTTGGTGGGTTTAATGACGACCTAATTTAGTTAAATCACTATTGTAATCTAGGTATAATGATTGGAGTTTAGTTGATGGTAATAAATGATATTATTCTTATATAGCTAACAAAGATAGATGCTTTCAAATATTTTACTCGAATAAATTAGTAAAAGATATATGAAGGAATCTATCGCTACATAAAATCACTTTGATATGTTTAACTGAATTGGCTAGAAATGAATAAATGTTTCATACGACAACTGTATAAGTAAATGGATTAGATCGTAGAAGACATACGCTAAGACCATATGATGATATATATATAAGGTGCGATAAAAAGTAGTCCGAAATCGCTAAACTTTGTAATTTTGCGTTAAACACACTAGGTACATATAGCATTTTAGTACGCTTGTAACTGATATGTTGTTAATAAGTTATAAATATTCCATAGCATGTCAATATCACACAAGAATTATGCCGTTCGGAATATCATACGTAGGTTTCTTGAAAGGATAAGATGTCAAATGAAGAATAAACAAATAAATTTTGAGCTTATTCAGAGAAAGTTCCTTATAAATTGTTGGTACATTTGTAACTTGCTCATAACCCAAGAAAATTTTCAAATCAGGCAGCAAAATTTTCTAAAAACATAAATAAATAGCGAACATTGTAGTGAATATAAAATGTAATCATGTATCACAATCTCACATTTCAATAGCAATCGTAAAATTCTTTGAAATCTTTTGTTGCGAAAAAAGAGATAATAAAACTGAAATAAAGGTTGAGTTATGACAGTTTAATTCAGATACGTTTTGACGCCGACAGACGATAAAATGTGCAGCTTAGATAGAAGTTTCCTAGCTTACTTAGATGTAATACTTATTGTAAGTGTTAACGTCATTCAATATAAGTGATGCGTGTTTCTATAGGGAAACATCTGACGAAGTAAATGATGAATGTGCACACACGGTTATCTTACAATCCCTCTGCTAGAAACGTGGATTTTCGACTCATGCGAACCATGCTGATGAGAGCTTCACCTTAAACACAACAGGACTCTCAGAAGTGAATCCGGGCGCAGACTTGGTATGTCAGAAACTGCGACACCTGAAAATCAACA